TAGTGGTGGTAACCTAGGGTGATAGGTAGTGACCAGTGGCACTCTGGTCGATCTTTAGACGTGGTTTGTACGTCAGTGTTTGAGCACGAGTTATGTCCTTTGCTCTTTTTTTTTATATAGCATTTTCAATGGGTCCTCGATGATAATTTCTATTCCGGAGATCTTCTGTTCGATTCTGAAAATCTAAAATCCGAAGAACAAATGCGTCTCATGCGCAGTGCTTGGCCTGTCTCTTATACACATCTAGATGTGTATAAGAGACAGGCATTAAAAGAGAACTAGCAAAATGATTTTTTGTTCTAGAGTGGATATTTGATAGGTTGAAGGTTGATTCTATTATTAATGGCGTATCAAAAATCCTCTCTAGAACAAAAAATCATTTTGCTAGTTCTCTTTTAAGTTATTCACGTGACCAAACTGACCAAAAGAATCATGGCCGATTGGTGAGTTTAGAAACAACATTTGCGTTGATATAATTTAGATTAAATTTCAGAAAATAAAAATTATATTTACCAGCATGAAGTCAAAAAATAATTGTAGGCTAACAGAATTCAAAAACTGGATGAAAATATTTTTTTTGGCGAAAAACCCATACTGTCACAAGCTGACACAATCTTGATTATACAGCGTGTATCGCGGTAACTATGCAGCCATTTTGTTTTGTTGAGTATTTACAAGTTTTCTATTTGACTGTTCGTCTTCGTTGAGTAGGATTTTACCGCTGCGCAGTTGGGCGTGGTTTAACGAAGAACAACCAGTCAAATACGGCCATTTATGTCGGGTCAAGCTAAGATTTATTCATCTTGCATTTTTTATAAAATTAAGTAATAAAATTCACTCAATTTTCACTCTTTCTATTAAAAAAAAAACAATTACATATATTTATAGAGGGTGACACTTTCAACACATCCTGGAAGGTGATCCTTTATCAGCCAAGTCTCATTACGAAGCTTAGGGAATGACCAGGATATGTGTTTCGGTCATGAGAAAAAATCTTGTGATATCAAAGGATATAGACCCTGACCCTGATATTCGAAGGCAAGCATCTAGCCACCCAGCTACCCATCATCATCATCTTCAAGTGCCTTACATAATGCAAGCTTTGGTGGTCAAAAACTTCCAACGCTGACGATCTCTCATCTACGTCTGCTGTAGAATGTGATAGTGTGGATAAAGAATTAACATGGACCATAAACATTACTGTATAAATATTTTTACTAAGAACTGTGTACTTTTTTTTTGTTTTAAAAACCGATAATTAAAACTACATCAAACACCATTTCAAAAGTGGCAATTTATTAGTGCAAAATTGTAAAGAACAAGCATAAATTCTATTGGTATATACATGATCAGAAAATATTTTTTATCACATTTTTACAAACAGTCCAAAACTTAAATCTCCCTATACCTACTAATGGACCTATCAAGAGTATCAAACTTCACAAATAACCAATCAGAACAGGTCCAGGAACATGAATGTCCTACAAACACCAATGTCATCCCACAAGCGCATGTGTTTAAATACGTTTACGCTAATGTTTTGTAGGATATCCAAGGAGCAGGGCGGGGTCTAGCGGAAAGGTCCATATTCAACCCAATCTACTTTTTGAAGCGTCTTTCTCGCATCATGTTACACATTAAATCGTTTACACTGTGACTTTTCTACCTGCATGTCACACAAGCGAACACCAGCAGAATACAATACATTTACTGGCTGCAAAGCATTATTAATTCTACATCTACAACATTTTAAGAACTTTGCAGGCACAAGTGCTGTCTGTACAAACATGTTTCACAACAATCCTTTGTCATCATCACGTATAATAATAATATACAACACAACAAATAAATTATACAATCCAGATTATCAATTTTTTTTTGACAAAAAAACTGTTGTATGTCCATAGATATCAATATCTATCTACAGATATCATGAATAGGCTTATCTATGGTTATGATGTGATGTCATTATGACCATATTTAGTCATATTTTTTCAATTAAAATTTAATAGTCTGGACAGGGCTTTATGGTATTTTTAAAAACGGCTATACTTTGTGATTCAACATTCCTGTGAGAACAAACATGTGAGGAATAATATAAATTTCCAGAGGAATTTTTAAAACTCTGGTATTATTTGTAGAGCAAAAGATATTTCATATACTGTACTATATTTTAATATAATATACTATGGTGTTGTTTCAGTACACAATGTAATCTATGAGAAACACCCCTCTCTTCTATTTACAGTATGCCTATATTTATGAATATATTTTCAATGGAAGACAATTTTAATTTTAACAAAAAATTACAATTGCAACCAGGTAAAGGCAAATCAACATTAATAAATAATACATGATACATTTTGTTTTAACAGAATATAAATAACAGGGCTGCCGTAAGTATACAATTAAAATTATACTGGAAAGTACTGACAGAAGTTCATGGAATGTAGTCTAGATTTGAATTTTATAGTAAGTAAAGAAACAAAATAATAAACACATTGGAGATTATTAAAAGGAAATTGAAAACAATTATGTAATTATTGTTCATTCCTCATAAAAAAAAGTGTCAGTTTTAAATTAATTCAAATGAGAAAAAAAACCCTATATTTATTACCTATATTTAATTGCCTATAAACACAAACATTTTCAAGATTTGAGGGTTGATTTTTCCCCTTTTACACTACATTATAATATATAAAGCTCTGTCCTATGGACAGCGCTTTATGTGTTTTTAAAACTGATGTACTCTGTCAATCAACATTCCCATGACAACCAATATAAATTTCCACAGAAATTTTTAAATTTTCATATTCTATGACGTGACTGTCTCCAACACTGTGTTAGAATGGCTCATCATATCTGTGATTAATTCACACAAACTAACACTACTTAAAAATATTAATTTGCTGATCAACCCAATGTGAATGCGATGGCAGTTCCTAGTAGTAGACTTCCCATTGGTTTTGGACCCCTGTAACTTGTAAGCAAACTTCTTGGATCCCTGTCAGCAAACTTCTTGAGACATCCCTGGTTAATGGATGATGAATATAAATTAAAAACTCTGCCAAAAAGCAGGTATAAATTAACAAATATGTGCTCAAATAAATGATTGCATAACATTTGGAATTGACAGTTCAAATTTACTTTATCAAGCAGTAGGGCATCTGCCATCGTTGTTGAAGTTTTAATCATGTACATGAGATCAAATAAAATAAGGGAGACAGTCACACACTAACAACAAAATCCCCTTGATAGAACTGAACTAGATTTCACGGTGATACACAAAGATAGGATATTTATAAACATGTTTAATGCTTGCATACAGATTAAATCTTGCAATAATTTTTGATAATATATCATAGAAATTCTTTTATAAATTATTTATTATAAAGTTACAGAGGCTATTGCACTGGCAAGAGACAAACATGATCTCCTCTTATCCATAATAATGTTATATAACAATGGCATTGCCATCAGTTTGAATAAGGTACCATCCAATAGATTGGAATATCTATATACATTTATTGTGTGTTTAAGATCTCTGAATGGTTCAATAAATTTGGTTTGAAGTTTATAGCATGCACTGCCTTTAGCATGCAGGCTATATACTGCCTATAGCATGCATGCTATATCACTATGTTGACACTAGGATCCGTTGTTGTAACAAACTTTGGTTGCAAAATACTTGAAAGTGATAACACATACTAAGTGTTACGTTTGTCTGGTGGTAATCTGCTATTGGTCAACGTCCCAAAAACATGTCAGCGTGCAGAGTGCATTGTTATGCTGACATATTTCTAGTTCTTCTGAACTTTTTAGATTACCATATATTTCATGAGAACAACTAATCCATCAAATTTAACTATATTCTCTTTATATTGAAATTGAATACAAAATATATATGGTTGAATTATACACTAATCTCCACAGAATTTATTCTACAATTTGTTGAGAAGAGGAAAGAGGCTGTTATAACAGCCGGTCATAAAAATCGGAACTATAATATAATATACAGTTGATATAATTATATATTTTGTTGATAAATTTTGTAATAATTAGATTTATAAAAGAAAGTTACAAGGACGGATTTGTAGGATACCTATTGCGCTGGTTTTGAGGTGAATAAAGATTAAGACAGAGGCATATACATACCTGTAGTAAAATTCAGATTTGAAGTAAAAGTCACTTATATTTAAGAATTATTTATTAAACTTATTTGCAGTGTCTTTATGTAGCTGTTGTTGACTCAAGAAGCAATATATTTTAAAATGTTTACCAGTAGATGTCATAAGATTACAATGGAAGTTCAAATAATAACATAATAACTGAATTTTGTATTTTCATTTGTATTCTCATATTGATGTATTTTTTATAATTATTGTAATTTTATGAGCAAGGACTTTTCTATGTAATTTCCATTTACAAATAAATCGGATTTGATTTGAAATTCCTATTATGCTAAGATATACTTCTGAGAACTACTAACATTGACAGTACGTCTTTCAAAATCAATAACACTATAATATTAAAGTAATTTAATGAATACTATCACTATTATTAAACAAAAAGGTGGGAAACTTTTTTGTACCAAAAATAAATGTTTACCTTCATAACCCAAAACTATATTGAACACCAAAACCTTTTGTATTTTGTATTTTGTACCTTTAAGCCTAATCTTTTTAGACACTTCCCTCATTTTATACCCTTGATTGTTAACATAGCCTGCTACAGCTGCAGTCTTCTTTACAATACTCATTAAAAAAAGCAACCACAATTAACTTTTCAAAAACAATATCAGACACAAAATCAGTAACACATCTTCACATCATCAGCAACTTCCACTTATCAAAGTACTTAAGCACATCCTCAGCAACCTCTCCATATACTCCCAACTTCTCCACATAAAAGCAACTTAAGACAAATCTCCACATCTCTATATCCACACCAGTGATGCATTGGCATAGAAAACACTCATCATCTCCACCTTCTCAGCAACCTCTCCCCATATCAGAAAAATCTCAGCATCATCAAAAATCTCTTTTCATCAACAGCAACCTATTCATGTTACAATTTTTAAACAGGTGAAAATACAGATAGCAAATATGTTCCCAAAGCTTTACTTTACAAAAGTACTTGCTGGAATACTGAGTTTAGAGATATCGTCTACCTGCTGCTTGAGGGTGTACCATTTCTGGTTCTGTTCTTATCCCGATGCGTCATAGACGATTTCAAATTGACTCGATGCTGCTCTGCCTTTTTAGCAGTTTTTGGATCAAGGGGAAGCTCGCGACCTCCCCGTTTCATTGTTGGTCCTACAGTGGTTTTGTGACGACGACCAGAGCTTAGGCGTACATTACAAGACCCCTGACTTGAGTCACTTTCCAATGAATTAAGGCTGGAGTTGCTGCCGCGTACATCTGTAGCGGATGATTTGAGATTCTCACGTGATAAACGGTGAGAGGAAGGCTTGTGATGCCTTCTTCCTACGGATGACAGTCTTGACTGCTTCTCACCTCTCGATAACTGAGATGATGGTCTTGGGTACTGGTCTTCTTTCAATGATGGTTTTATTCGGATTTCTTCGCTAGAAAATGATCTTTTCTCTTTGACTAGTCGTGGACTACTTTGAGGATTTGATATAACTTTGGCACGTAGGCTTTCTTGCGAACTGCATAAAAATCAATGAAAAAATATATTTAAAATTCTGGGCTTTACAGCAAACATTTTAAGATTGATAAAAACATAAAACCAAGGTAATTTATAGGTTGGGATTTACCTCATGCAATTTCTATTCACACGCCTTTATTTCTTACTGAAATCACCACAACAAGGCCTGAAAGCCACCTCTATGTACGGGGTTACTTAACTACTATATTTATATGACATAGCTTGAGCCACTTCAAAGATTGTCAACAATGCAAGTTGGGGTATCTCATGGCCAGTATGGAAACTGCTGAGCCAAACCACTTTCATCAAGATAGATAATAATAATGTTATGTGATGAATTTTTAAAATCTGAATAAAAATATAAAAAGCATTTATAAATTTGATTGGCAACTGCTTGGTAAAAGAGAAACAGTTTGCATATTTTGGATATTGTAGGTTCAAACAGGTACGTTGAATAAGTATAAGTCAGAATTATGGTATCTAACACATTATAGTAAGTAAACCTACCCATTAAGGCATTCACTTGTCTCAGATGTAAGTTTAAGTGCCCGATAAAGCTCAACTGTGGATGGTGTTACGACTTTCGCAGTACGGCGAGATGTGGGTGGAGTACTAACTAAACAGTCATGCTTAAGCTTGGAAGACAACACTGAAGATGTAGAGCTCAGATTCGGACCTAGGCAAAGAAAAATTGTGTTGAAGTACACTGATACATATGTGTATATATATATATATATATTTATTTTGTTTTTATATTTTTGGATTTATATATATTTTTAACTGGTGGCCACGGCTTAAAGTTTTATTCTAAACTTATTTTGGCCTCCTTCCACACACTTATAATGTACTATTATTCTTAGTTGGTTTTACTATTAAGCTTTTGTTATGTATGTTCTTATGTTCATGTATGTGTGTAGAGAAATAAATTAAACAAACAAACAAACTGCATGCTCAATGCAAAGGTAAATAAAATTTACATACCGTAAATAAACATGTGATAAATTGAAAGTGAAAAATGAATGGTAAATTTAACAAAAAGGAAATGAAATACAGGGCTTCCTCTAATGAAAGACCCCTCCAATGACAGACCACCTCCAATTAAAGACCACTTTTTTGTAGTCCCAAATTAACAAATGTCTTTTTAATTATTATTCTAATTAGAGACCAAAGCTGCTAAAGACCATGAAAACCCCAGTCTCAAAAGTGGTCTTTAATTGGAGGGAGACCTGTAAAATTATAACTAAATAAAAGCTTGTTATTATAACTATCTATTATCTCAATTATCATCACTCTCTTAATTCACTGTCATTTTCATTTGAAATTATTATATTGACTATTATCCTATTAAACATTATTAAAATGTTATTGGACTGAAAATTAAACTGAATCTGAGAAATGATAAACTTACTCGGTGATTTACTGATTGACTTGGCAGGCCTCAGTGGAGGTGGGGTCGGGTTACTGACCTGTGGTGTCATGGAAATTTGATGTTGAAGAAAAGTTGACCTTTCCTCCTCAAACTTCTTTCTCTATTACAAAGAAACAAGAAAAAAATATTTATAAAGTAGTTTGGTACATTATTTCATGTTATTGAGAACCACAAAAGGTAAACACATAAAATGTACATAACAACAATATTATATTTGTTTTCATATTTTAATAATGGATTTCATAGCCTATCTGAAAAACCACCATTATGAACCATGTGATATTCATCCATAGCCTAGTAGTTATTCATTTTACCATTGATTGATAAGGTAGGTTGTAAGGCAGTTTTGTAAGACAGAAGGTTGATAAAGTAGTCTGGTAATGTATAGATGTATGTAATGTACTTGGTAAGGTAGGTTGGTAAAGGTAGTTATATCTGGTAAGGTTGGTTTATAGGAATGTTGTATAAAGGTAGGTTGATAATGTTGTTGGTAAGGCAGGTTGGTTATTAAGGTAGGCAGTTAAAAAAGTAGGTTAGTAAGGTAGTTGGTATGTAGATTGGTAAGGTAAAGTAGGTTGTTGATTGTAAAGGTAGGTTGGTAAGATAGGTGGATAGTAAGATAGGTATGCATACATTGGTAAAGGTAGTTTGGTATGTACTAGGTAAAGTTTGGTACAGTAGTTTTCTATTCGTAAAACCTCTACTGACCTCATGGCCTAGTCTAATAGCAGCCTCTGTGAAATTTCTTCGTTCCTGTTCAAATGCAGCCTTCTGTTGATAGAAAAGTTCTTTGTCTCTAGCAAATGAATCCTTCTCTTCAAGTAGATGGGAATCTTTCAGGAATTGCACAAAACTTTCGTCAGACTTAGGTGAAGACACACTCTGTGGAAAAAAAAATTATAATTTAAATGATATTAGTAATACTGTAGAATGGCAGCCAAGGAAAGAAGAAATTGGAAGAGGCAGACTAAAGAGAAGATGTCATCACAGTGCTGAACATAGAAACAGTAAGAAATGCCTAACAATAGAAGCCTTCACACCTACTAGCATGAAAGTATGACATCAAGAAAATTTATAGTTGTTTTCTAAAATTACTGACCAATTGATCGTTTGATTTGAAAGTTAGTAAATAGAAAAACTAAAGAAAAAATGAAAATAAACTACAGGGGTCCCGAGTCAGGACGGCCTCCCACAAGAAAGCAAGAATCTCTCAGAAAATAACCTAACTCCCGCAAATTCATGAAATGTGCATGTCTTTACTACTTTAATTTCAATTGCCTCACGGAAGTCAGTGTCACTGGATAATCACTAGGCACAGCAAAATGAAATTAAACATGATATACATATTTAACCAGATCTCCTTGTAAGGGATTATTCCTTGGGACCCCTAAAACAACGCACCTGTAACAGTTGTTCCTGCTGTTCAATAATATCTTTATAAGTTGAGAGTTTTAACTGTAATTTATTGATTTGTTTCTGATATTGTTCAATTTCGGACTGTTGTCCAACTTTAAGTGACTGTGATTGCGAAGTACTGTTGTTAACATAAGAGTTCTCTTTATTCTCAATCTGCGCTTCTGTTTCCATTTTACGAATTTTCTCTTTCAATTTCCTCCATTTTCTCCGCATACTGCTTTCGATCCCTTCCCTGACCATGTCGAAAGGCATTTGAAAATGACCCGAGGATAGCTCCTCATCCGATGCATCATGGTAACCATCTTCTTCCATCGCTTCATCTCCATCAAGACACTGCAAAAAAAAAAAAAAAAAGAATTATTTCTATAAGTTAATTTCAGAATTTTGGCTTGAACAAAAGTTAAAAATGAAAAATAGAGAATTAACATACCAATCATTGAGTTTCAATTTATTTTTTTCAGTCTCTCTCTCTTATTCATTCATTCATTATGAAACTAATGCATTCATCTTCTCTAAAATTTTCTATCATGTTACTGTATCCATCATTTTATTATAATTTTTTCACAAAAAATCTTATTGCACAAACAAAAGAAAAAGTACAGATAATGATTGAATTTGGAGATACCTATTAAACCTTCTCCTACTGCTTTTCTAATTTATTCATTACCGTACATATTATCTAGTCCTATGTCCACCTATGGATTTCAAAATGGTATGAGTTGGAAATGTTAACAAAACTTGTAGCAAAAAAGTAATGCTGTCCAATGCTGAATGCATAAAAAAAACTAACAAGATTGGATTGAGGTTTGTTCAATTCAATTCAGATGTTGCAACTGCAATAAAAACAAAACAAGTATATTTTAAAAGATCACACACCATGTACCATTAATAATACTAACATAGAATATTAATAATTTTATATGAAATCAAGCAGAGATTCCTAAGTGCTGATTAGATTAATATAAATGTCATATTACTCAGGAGAACGCATTAGTGGAATTAAACATCAAAAACATCAGCATCGTTATCAGTTTATTGTCTACAATGGTCAGCATATTATAAACTAAACAAACAGACACTTGGCAACATCTGGTATACTCATCCCACCAGAATAACTATAAGTTAATTTTAGAATTTTGGCTTGAACAAAAGTTAAAAAAGAAAAATAGAGAATTAACATACCAATCATTGAGTTTCAATTTATTTTTTTCAGTCTCTCTCTCTCATTCATTTATTATGAAACTAATGCATTCATCTTCTCTAAAATTTTCTATCATGTTACTGTATCCACCATTTTATTATAATTTTTTTACAAAAAATCTTATTGCACAAACAAAAGAAAAAGTACAGATAATGATTGAATTTGGAGATACCTATTAAACCTTCTCCTACTGCTTTTCTAATTTATTCATTACCGTACATATTATCTAGTCCTATGTCCACCTATGGATTTCAAAATGGTATGAGTTGGAAATGTTAACAAAACTTGTAGCAAAAAAGTAATGCTGTCCAATGCTGAATGCATAAAAAAAACTAACAAGATTGGATTGAGGTTTGTTCAATTCAATTCAGATGTTGCAACTGCAATAAAAACAAAACAAGTATATTTTAAAAGATCACACACCATGTACCATTAATAATACTAACATAGAATATTAATAATTTTATATGAAATCAAGCAGAGATTCCTAAGTGCTGATTAGATTAATATAAATGTCATATTACTCAGGAGAACGCATTAGTGGAATTAAACATCAAAAACATCAGCATCGTTATCAGTTTATTGTCTACAATGGTCAGCATATTATAAACTAAACAAACAGACACTTGGCAACATCTGGTATACTCATCCCACCAGAATAAAAACAACCAACTTCCTAGTTTACATAAAGATATACGGCCACCCAAAATATCAAGGCAATAACCTCAAAATTAACTGCTTATTTAAAAGAACCACATAAGTTTACCAGCTTTCAATTATTTGTTTATTTGACCTTACATCCCACGATGCAATGCGCCTTAAACAATTTCCTGTATAACACGGATTCAAAACTCGCAAGTAAAAATGAGTGTCGTTGAGCGATCGGCCTTTGGCGTTAATTTTCGTTCAATGACACAACACTGTGTTTAATCTCATGGTGTAGTATAAACACAGCCTTAGTCAGAGAATCAGAAGTCAGAAAAGGTAGACAATACGGAGAATACTACATCTTTGTACATACTGTGTTGCTGTCTGTTTTGGAAAAGGTCTGCTGATTGAGTAAGTCCACTAATTCTTTCTGCATGTTGCTTAGCGACTCCCTAAGTTCTCGGTTCTCTCCCATTAATTCTTCCTGGCGCTCTTCGTAGTTCGTTATTATAAGTCTGTACATATCTTCCTCATGTCTAGAGTAATAAATAAAAAACATAAAATTATACTAAATTGCTAAAACATCAAGTACAGTAAGTACATCCCTCATTTTCACAAGATTCAATTAATGTAATAATTCTAATACTATCTCATCAATATTATTAATAATAATGTTTTATTCATACAGCGCATATTGCAATATACTGCCTGTATGCGTTTTACATTATTACCAATGGATACCACCAGATCAAACATTCATGGAACACATCCTCACCCACAACAGTCAGCAAAAATGTGTCACAGGAAAGAAATTTGACAATGGGCTTATTCGATTGCTTCATTTTGTTGAGTACGAATTTTCGTTGAGTATTATTTTCATTCGACTGGTTCGTAAAATAGACTTCGTTGACAACAAAAATTAACGTAACCAGAATGCGTTAATCAGCGTTAAGTTATGCACATGACAAAAAAAAAAAAAATATGGCCGATTGGTCAGTTTAGCAACAACATTTGCGTTTCAGAAAATAAAAATTATAATATTTACTCACATTGAAGTCAAAAATAATTGTAGGCTAACAGAATTCAAAAACTGGATGAAAACATTTATTTACGAAAAACTCATAGTGCCACAATCTGAAACAGCCTTGATTATGCAGCGTGTATCGCGGTAACTATGCAGCCATTTTTTTTTGTCGAGTATTTACCAGTTTTCTATTTGACTGGTCGTCTTCGTTAAGTAGGATTTTACCACTGCGCAGGTGGGCGTGGTTTAATGAAGAACGAACCAGTCGAATACGGCCAATGAAATATTATAGTTTGTTTACTTACTTCTCTCCTGTCCTTCCTGTCTTCCATTTGCTTCTCTTTCCATCTGATCGTTGAATGGAATTCAAAATATCCATTCCTGAAAAAAAAAAAAAATATTATAATGCTGCATTGTTCTGCTTTAATAAATATAAATATTTCATTACATAAGTTAAAAATTTCCCACATGAATATAATATATGAGCATTACTGGGTAACTTAATCACTCCATTTTCTATATCTTTATATTAAAATAATAAAAAAAAATACTATTTTTGTATTAGCTTTGCATATTTTCATCCAAGAGATGAATTTAGTTTAAAATGCTTCATGTCCCCCCTTTTCTTTTTTACTGCTATATATATAAGCAGGTTTTGAACATTGTTCATGGCTTAACAGGGAAAAATGATGAACTTGCCCCTAAAGATTCAAGTATATCATTGAATAACGCATTAGAAATGATCTATTATGTTATCAGCTGTCTGTTACAGATCAAAGTAATTCAGTTTTTAGTGATCAGTGAAAATTCTTAAATGATCACCGGTCAATTCAAGGGTTATTCCAAGAATATAGGAAGAGCATTGCATCCTTGTTTAGTAAAAAAATTATCTGTTTAATTTTCAATTGAATTGAAAGCTATGAATGACTTACTTCAATATGTAATTATTATGCCTATGCTTAAATTTTTAAATATTGATTTTTTTTTTTTTGTCTCCAAGTTTTAAATTAGCTCGATAAAGTACATATTTAATGAAAATATTTTAATAGTAGAATTGTCACCTATTCTTCTTTCTTGGTTTTTGTCTGTTAGTAACTGATGAATCCTCTCCTTCAATTTGCTAGCTTCTCTTTCCTTCTTTTTCAGGTCATGTTTGAACTGTGTGTCTCTGTGTCTATTAATACCATCAAGTTTCTTGATCTGAAATCAGAAAAATAAATCATCCACTAATAACAAAATAAAATAATAAACTTTAAAACAATGACAACAATCCTGTCGCGGGGGTTAGTCTGAGTTTAAATTTGCTCGTCACTGCCGGTTTCTAGGAAACAAACATGTTTCGACAGGGTTTAATGCCATCATCAGTGCGGAGATTACACGCAGGTGACACAAACATTCTGAATTTATTAGTCTTCTTTTCTGTGAGATGGCATATTTAATATAATCACTATACTATCAAACCAAGAATGAATCTCATCTGAGGAGAGAATCTAAGTGTTTCCTCCTTCAGTTGCATTTTGCCATACATTGCTCTGATTATATTTCCAAAGATGAAATTACACTACTGTACAGTACCATCTGTCCATCACTCATAATGGTACTTTTTTCAAGGAAAATACTGTACACTGATAGCCTATCAAGCCATTAAAGCATAATGTGCGTTAAGCCGGACATTCACTGATCGTAGTACGATGAATCCAACTCCGCTCACTGTGTGCGTTGATGGCAGGACGTTGTCTGCTATTGTTAGTGGCAGCTTGAACAGATCACCGTTAAAAATGATCCTCTGCGCACGTGTCGTGCCATTGCGTTCGACGTGGAATCGCGTCAGCCGACGACCATCAGGTACAGTGAGTGTCCGGCCTTAAGGACTTGTAACACATTCTCTAATAACTGAGAATGCACACATTTCTTTGATAAAAATTACATTTTGCTTGTGTGTTGATACAACTGTAGCTTGATTTACTCTTTGTGCTTATTATAAAGAAAGAAAATGTCCTCTATTGTCTTTCATTGGTTGATATTTTGTATGTCTTTAAAATATTTAGAAAAATATTGTTTATTTATGATATCTATACATTTTGTTATGTATTCCTAATAGAAGTGGTTAAAAATATTTCTGATCTAGAATTATATAAATAATTTTACAATAACATAAGAAATGAAATAATGAAATACTAATTATCTCACCTCTTCTTTTGTAGCTTTAAGTTTATTATTAAGTCCTTTGTTTTGTAAAATGTGCTGTCTTTCTTTCTCCACCAATGCTACGTTATCCCGTTGCTGTTGTTCTAATTGTTCTTTTAATCGTGTACATGTAACATTTAAATGATCCAGATCACTGTCGCAGCGTATTCTTCTGCAAGCAACAAAAATTATTGTATTTTTAAAGTTTTATTCACTATATGGTTACATTTTGCTACAATGGACAAATATTGTATAATTAAAAACAATCAAGGGTTTTATTGGAAAAAAAATTACATACAGTGCACCCGCCAATTCGAGACCCCTCTAATTCTGAGACCACTTTTTCTAAGAACCAAATAACAATTGTCAATCTTTTAACACAAAGCTGACCCTATAATTGGAGACCGAGCTCCGAGACCACACAAATTTTTAGGTTCCAAAGGTGGTCTCGAATTTGAGGGCTAACTGTAGTAGAGATAAATATGTTGCACAATACAATATTTTAAGGCAGTATATTACATGATTCCTTCCAATTAAAGACCATTTTTGGGACACAGGTTTGCATGCTCTTTAGCAGCTTTGGTCTCTAATTGGAATAAAAAAGATAAAAGACATTTGTTAATATGAGACCACAAAAAAGTGGTCTTTAATGGGAGGTGGTCTTTAATTGGAGGGACTGTGAAGCTGCATTCACATCAAATCCCAACCGAAATTCAGACCGTGTTTTTTCAAACACTGGACACCAGTGTTTTTAACCACTGAGATTGTCCGATCCAAAAATTTGGATTGGTGCGAGTGCAGCTTTAATTAGAGAGACCCCAGTAAACACTAACTGGTAGATATATAATCATATCTGTAATTGTAGAAAAGTGATATGGTCTACAAACATATTAGATAACAAAAATATAAATACATAAAAAGTATAGTAGCAACTACAATAAAAACATTATGGGATGATGATTAATATTTGATGAATGATAAAAAAAAAAAAGAAGCTGTATAATATGTACTGATGCATATATTAACAACATCTGGACATTGTGGCAGACATAACAATTATAATGCACAATTTGTAAATATCCCCAACCAACCGCTAGGGACTAATTCTACACTAAACCAGGAACTCTGTTAATTCCCAATTGAGAAGGAATCCAGTATGTCATCTCTGACAGCAAGTTAAATCTCATCCTGCCGAATAATGCATAATAAATGGTAAATATTTCCCTTTACGGTTAAATTTCCCAAAACAAATATCTGCTAAAAAAAAAATGCAATGACAATTGGTATTTTTGGAGCCTATTGTAGCCATACTGTACAATAGGAAAATGAATTTGATTTTTCTATTTGTATGTTAGCTAAAGCCTGTAAAACAAAAGCTTCAGGAATGTTGATATCTCATCTGTCCAGACGTTCCAGTAGAGTATGTGCTGTTTTCAAAATTTTACACATTATAATACAGTTAAACTTGCCCAAGTCGAATAATTTCTGAGTCGATCTTATTTTACATGCCAAATTGTTGTGTTTTCCATTAATTAACAATCTGTAAGTCGAATTTTATCCAAGTTGAACAATATTTCAATGGCATTCTGGATTCGACTTAGGCAAGTTCAACTGTACTCTAAACAATTTAATTTGAGTTTTTATAATTTTCAAGATTATTACTAGGTACAACAGTACAGACATCGCAGTTTGTAATTGGCAAGTATTATGAAATATTGGCAAGGAGGATCTATAAGTTTACTTAAAAGTGGCACGATGCAACTACATGACATATGACCCAAACCCTAGAGATGTTATAAAAATGCATCATTCCATGAATTGTTAAAATTGTAACATAATTAGCAACAATTCAATCAGATATTCTATCACTAAGTTAATTATTGACAAATTAATTAAGCAATCAATCACCAAAAGTCTATTGAATTTTCCTTTCGCTAGATCAACGCTGAATTCTTAGAATCAATAGAGAGTTTGTATTCATCATGGTTTATGGTAATTGGCTTTTACTTGCAGTTCATTACTATCCGCATTTTACTCAATATCGCATGGGTTTTAATGAGAATTAATTTAGCATCTTAATGAAATATCCGAAAACTACAGGTACACAAAATATGCAAATGAGGATAGTTGCAGGTGCTCTTGCAAAGCCTTTTCATCCAAATTGTAAACACACGCAAGCATGAGCAGACATGCGGAAGGCAAACTAATCATACTTTTAACTCCATCAATTTTTTTCTCTTCTTTGAATACGCGGTTTGTAGAACATAATTACAGCACAGCCTTAATTGGAACCTGTTATTTCCGTTTTGCATGCAAAGTATAATTTACTGAATTACTGTAGTTGGTAAATTCTCGAGTAGACCAAATTGCCGACTTACTGACAATTATATTTACTGGCCATGTTTGCTTCAGTTGCCATGGTTATAATACACTGTGTACATAGATTCAAAAACACGGCCTGCAAAATGAGAGCAATTGTATTTCTTTTTTTCCCCCATAGGTTCTGACAACTGGTATATTAGGTCAATTATCGAATTAACAAGACAAAAATTATTTTTCTGTTGCAAAAGCCAAGTGACTTCGAAAATCAGAGTCAGTTGAATTGAATAATAAAAATATTTTATAAAATTCACATCTAACTGTTTACTGTATGCACCACATTCATTTTGTCTGGTTAAATATGGTAATAGGCTAAAATTCATGTTTTCAAATATGTATAATAATTGTTCAAGATTAAGATTGTCATAATAAGCATTTTAATGTTTACTAGCAGACATGGGCCAAAACAAGTGTACATGTACAAGTATTTGTTTAAAATTTCATCAAGTCACATTATCATCAAAATGGTGTGTCTAATACATTGGTGGGTAATTCAGAGAAAGGAAAACTAGAACAGGGAGCCAAAACATGATAATACATTTGCCAAGTGCTCTGAAGAGCCTTTATATTATTTGAGCATCAAACATTGTTAAGTATATGATAATAATTATATAGCTTTCTGTGTGATTTATGGGTTGATATTGTGCATAGTCCATATCTAAATATAGGGACGTGCATTGCTAATCCTGTGAACAGCTGGTCGCACTACATACAAGGTACAGTAGATTACTTTATTAATGAACAGTACTCAATAGGCATTCTTTGGTCGTTAGAGGAGAGCGATGATAAAATGTTTTCAGTACTGACAGAAGGGCAGTCTGCTCATCATAAAACAAAGTGAATTACAGCCAAGCATATGTAGTTTGTCTATTATACATTGGTGGTAATAATATTTACCTAACAATTAAAAGCTGAGAAATTACCACGATTGCGGAACTTTATTGATAATATAATTGGAGCATTTATTTTTATCTGTATGATGACATCAATTGCAGTGATAAAAATAAAGCAATCGCTAAAAACATAATAAAATACAAAGATCTAATTAAAACATAATAAAATGATAAAAACATAATAAAGACATGAAACACATACTGTAAAGGGCACAATAGAA